ATGGTAGCAGCAGGAGTGGAGGTGAGGCTGGGTGGGCTCTGAGGCCAACATCCCCGCAAGGATGGGAACCCACACATGGCAAATGCAAAAGCAACCCAGATGGAGAGCGCATCATGATGATTTCTTCTGTAGCTTCTGCTAACTCTGGTCACTAATGCTGGGGCAAGGGCTAGTTTGGGAAGGTGTTCTGGAGGGAGGGAGATGTAAGCAAATGTAGTGACAGGAAGTCAGACAGGCAGCCTAAGTATGAATTTTGATATGAGGGCTTTGATTCGGCTGTTCTGGTGTGCATAATTATAACAAAATTCAAACAGCAAATGCTTATACTTTCACTTTGTAAAATTTAATATATAAATAGCAGATGTTCTGTGTTGCATCAAAACAGCAACGAGAAATTAGCTACATGTCAATGCTCTGCTTCAGCTCAGAAGTAAGACTTTAAATGCTACATTTAGGAGAACTGACCATTCGACAAGTATTTCTGAACATCTTTCCATGCAAGAAATAGTCAGATCAGGAAGCCATAGTAAAGAACAAGAGCAATACGGTCCCTGTCCACATGGAGTTTGCAGTCTATAGAAAAAAAAAAATGGAATCAAACAACAACGCACAGATATAGGTCACTATAAAGAAGACAAAAAGCCATAAGGAAAAACACAGTTTATGATGGGTAAATATGATCTACTCTGGGGCTCAGAGGGAACTGATACTCAGCTAGGATGTAATGGATGTCTGGAGAAGTGGGGCATGAAGCCAATACAAAGAAAATAGTCTGGGCAGGAGGATCCAGCACATGCAAAGTTCTTATAGAGGCAAGAAGCTAGTCCCGTCTCTCAACTGCATAAACAGGGAAACTTTGCCACTACTCTTCTTTACAACTGGGCAGAGACCAGCCAATTCATAGATAGTACTTGCTAATTGAACATATGAGGCCCTTCTCCCCCAGGTACAGCATAGCAGTAGCTGCTACTGCCAAGGATGAACTGAAAATTGACCAGAGGGCTCCCTGCTTTGGAACTTTAAAAAGCTTGCCCCAGGAGCTAGCAGGCAGTATGGAGATTAAGGCGTTGGATCCCACATGGCTGATTCTGTGGTTCTAGTCCCAGACCCAGTAGCTTGAGAAACATGCCAGGTGCATGTGCATGCATGCCCAAAATCCCAAGAAGAAAATGGAAGAGAAGGGATTGTGGCATGGCATTCCTCCTAGGAGTGACCAATCTCTCTCTTTCTCTCTCACTCTGGCAAACACACAGACCCTTATATCAATCAATCAATCAATCAATCAATCAATCAATACCAGCAGCAGCCACAATAACGGCTTGCCCAAAATTAGGAATGGAACATGGACTCAGACAGTGTCTTTTAGGGCAAGAAGAAAGATCCATAAGTCCCACCAGGCCTAGGCTTCTTTCAGAAGGGCTACCACATAAGCACATTTAGAACTTATAAAGCAAAGCCAGACACATCAGACTATATATTACTTGAATTTAGTAGGAGTCAAGCAGTTTTTTTGGGTCTCAAGTAATATTCCAGGGTCAGACTAAAGTCACTAAGATTCTTCTAAAACTGAGATTCTATGAAAACCTACAATCTAGGAAAATTTAGTTTTCCCATCATACTTTCTCTACTGCAAGCAACACTATACTGAAATCACATTGTACCTAATCTTTGAACTGACCTCCAGTACTGCTGACAGGACAATGAAATGGTATAAATATGTGACACTTAGTCTAAGATTAAGCTCTTTTATAGAAACAAGGTTAGCAACAGAATTTCTGGACAATATGCATTTACGATATTGTAACATTTCTGTCGGATTCGATAAGTACAAAATCCTTGCTCTTAGGGAATTTATCATTCTAATGATAAAAAATAAAAAAACACTCACAAACCACTTAAAAGACATGTGGGCACTGTTTCAAGTACATCAAACCTTAGGACTGCTGATCTACTTTATATGACATTACAATTGTCCTCATTCAGGATGACAAGTGTTTTTTTTAGTGCTACAGCACTTGTGTAATGGCTTCGTCCAATTATTTCTTTCAACATAAATAAGACAATATAATCTAGCTAATTATTTTTAGGTCAGGCAGAAAGGGAGCAAGATCAGTTTATAAACACTTTGGATAATTCTAAGAAATCAATTCAAATTTCTTGTTATAAAATGTAACAGGAAAATCTTGACTGCTAGAAAAATGACCAGTAGGAACCACAAAATACCCTTTAAAAAGAATATGATTCACTTGGTCCAGCTCCCAACTCAAATGCATACAAAGAGGCTTAGAAAATGGGAAGGATAAAGATGAGTAATCAAAAGCTTGTTGATGATAGCAGTGAATTTTTCCACCCTAATTTAGTTACAAAATCATCAAGCATTTGAAAGGAAATACCTTTCTTTCAGTGACAGGATTTTTTTTTTTAATTTGGCTCATTTTTGTTAATGCTGCTTTACATAATTTTTTGGGGGGTGGTCAGGGAAATTTTGTAGATTTCTCAAATTAGTTTATCACATTCTCAGGCAAGAAATAAGTAAATCTGATACTTTCTGAATGAGGGAAAAGTAAAAGGAACAAAACAGTCCTGTGAGCTGAAACAAACTTTAACTACGATTGATAGGATATCTCAAATATTTTCCAAGATGCAGAATTCCAGAAATCTCTGTCCTAAGATACTTAAACTCTCTTAAATTTTCGAGGACCTATTTTGAAATTTTGATATCTATGTAACGAAAGAAAATCAAATTATGGATAGGATTAAATTTTGGATAGGAAGGCAAAAGAGAAATAAAAATAGACAAACAGAATATTCTTAAATATGATCATCAGAATGTAACTGATCTATATTTCTATAAATATTTTAAAGGAATCAGAGCTTTTGACTTCTGAAGTAAAAAAATAGGGAACCAGCAGTTAGCGTAATGGCTATGTCACTGGACTCCCACGTAGTCGACCCCAGTTCGCATCCTGGACCCGGTGGCTTAGAACTCATGCCGGGCACGTGTGTATGCATGCCCAAGATCCTGAGAGGAGAATGGAGGAGAAGGGATTGCGGCGTGGCCATCCCCCCTGGGGGGTGATTTCTCGCTTTCTGTCTCTCTGTCTCTCTCTGTCCGGCGAGCAGACGCACGTGTGTATGCATGCCCAAGATCCTGAGAGGAGAATGGAGGAGAAGGGATTGCGGCGTGGCCATCCCCCCTGGGGGGTGATTTCTCGCTTTCTGTCTCTCTGTCTCTCTCTGTCCGGCGAGCACACGCACCCTATAGCAAAAAAAAAAACTCTCAAAAAAAAAAAAAATAGAAGTAAAATGTTGAGAAAGTATGAACTCAGAAAAACTGAAAAGAAATTATGGAACTTACTGTAGAAAATCTCTTCAAATTATCTCCTTAATACATTTACAAAATTTAAGACTGAAAATCTGAAACCTTAAAAACCTCTCAAGGTGGGCCTGGTGGTGTGGTACACACCTGTAATCCCAGCTACTCAGGAAGGTTGAGGGAGGAGGAGTGTGAGCTCAAGGCCAGCCTGGGCAACACGATGAGACTTGGTCTCTAAAAAACCAAAGACCTGTGAGCCTGCCAAGGACTACCCATGGCAGGTTTGCAGCATCAGACTCCTGTGTTTGCATTAAGCTACAAATCACTGAGATCTGATCCACCGCTTCCTTTCAGTTCATTTCCTACTTTATAGCTTTGCTGGTTTTAACTGCTCATGATTCTGCTCCTTGGTATCCTTTTTTTTTCATTTGAAACAGCAGGATGAAATAATTCAAAAAAGAAACAAAAATTGTATAGGGAAAAATGTTCAGGTTAGTGAGGAAATTGAATGCAACAATGTGAGCTCCAAGACAACACAGATTTTTGTCTATTTTGTTTGGTGCTTTATCCTTTATTTCTTATTAGGAAATCAGGAAGTAGTTAAATAGTTGTTAAATGAAAGATGAAGATAACAAAGTAGGCAACACTGTGCAATGCAAAGTCATTGTCATCTGGGATGTAGGGGTTCTCACTGACTCTAAACTGCAAGCGTGACCCTGAGCAAGTCATTTTAATCTCTAAACCTCAATTTCCCTGCCCTCTAGACAAAAAGGAAATGTCCTTCCTGAAGGGTTGGTGTAAGGATAAAAAAGATGTTTCAAAAACTCTTTACCAAGCACCAACGGTGCATTTTTTAAGAGGCTGTAGATGTGGGACCAGCAGTTAGCGTAATGGCTATGTCACTGGACTCCCACGTAGTCGACCGCGGTTCAAGTCCTAGACCTGGTGGCTTAAACTCACACCAGGCCCGCGTGCGTGCGTGCCCAAGATCCCAAGAGGAGAATGGAGGAGAAGGGATTGCGGTGTGGCCATCCCCTCTGGGGGGTGATTTCTC